CACATGTCAGCTAATCATTTGCCCGTTTGAGCCAAATTACCGTTATTCAACAATTTTTGCCCAGTATTGTATACATATTCGGATAAATGCTTAATGGGTTGGAACTATAGTGAAATTAATTTTTATCAAGCTAGGTAGCTTTTCGAGATATTATCTCAGTTTTAAAAATTGGAAACTTGTTAAAATTTGAATGGTGATATCTCAATAACTTAACTAAACTTGGTAAAAATTTTTATTCTAATTCTACGTATCTGTAGTATAGTTGCCGTCCAATACACGTGGCTCTCATATTTGCTTAATATGGAGAATTATAATGGAATCAAATTTATAATTTACTATAAACTATTTGATATATCATGAGATTTTGATATTATGGGAGCTTTTGATATAACGGAGCAAAGGACTGGAACCATGGCCTCCGTTATATCGAGAGCCACGTGTAGTTATTACTAAAAGTTCATACAGTATAAAAGATCCCATATATCAGATCCTCTATGAATTGGACCCGTGTATGAATCACACTCTATTAAATAAATGCAGATGTTTTGTTAAGTTATTCTTGTTTAAAGTTATAAAAAATTTTTATTATAAAAAATTTGCTTGATTTCTATTGACTCACCCCATATATATATATATTATTATTATTCAGATATTATATATATTATGCACCTATGGTATGCAGTATTTTTTGCTAAAATTTAGAATTAGGGATATAAGAAGGTTATATATATATAATAGTTTAAAATTTTAGATTATACAGTACAAGGTTTTGGGGGTTTTAACATTTTTACTTAGTATCTCTAATTCTAATTACTTCGTATGTTTTTGAGAAATAGAGATCTATGGTGATGGACATCTATGGTAAAACCGTTATTATTATTATTATTTGAAGTTAGTTTCGTATACTGCCACATGCAACTTTCACACTATCATTCTCCTTTAAATTTGCCATATTACGGTTAAGTACTCGTTCACGGGTTTAGAGTACAAGTTAATTACTGGTTTGATAATTGCTATTGTTCTCATAATATTAGTAAGTGAAATTTTTTTATTTTTGTAATTAAGAAAATGAGTCAATACTTATTAGAAACGAGAATGAATATCTAATTTTACAATTTTAAAGAATCAATCTTAACAAAAATAATATTAAACGAAGTTAGGTTTGGCTATGATAAATTGGAATTTTATTTTATTACAGTTTCAAGTCTGCAAGGGATAATTTTCATAATACAAAGAAGTTTCATTCGTGAATAAAATTATTTTTGCTTGCTTGAAATTTTTTTTATATAGTAATTGTCTAAATCTGTGCTTTAGTCAATTTTTGTATTTTTTTAAATTATATACGTAGATTGTGTGAATGAAATGTATACGTGAATTTATGGGCATATCTATTTCGCATATATTTTTATGGCATAATCCATTTCATTACCTTTTAGCATAATGAATTTACATTAAAGGCGAAAGATCAATCATTCTATAAACATAACGATAAGTCACCTCAATCACTTTTTTTATATAATGCATTAAAAGGCGAAAGGTCTACCGTTTAGCACTGTATAAAGTATCCCCTTCCTACCACATAAAGTACCCTTTTCCACCAATGAAATCGCTGGATTCGTGAATAATACCCGGTATATACTATTCAATTTTAAAAAATGATGATCTTGAATAAGAGCCCGGGTACTGTATACAGTACTAAACGGTATATGTTTAAATCAATCTATCGCTATTATCTCAATCATAATCATACGTAGTTACAATCATATCGATATGAATAAATAATAAAGCTGTAGTGACATTTGGCAATAGCGAAGACATTAACTGCATGACTTACTGTAATTATTATGTATATAGGTTCTATTTTGAAACCGGGTTTCTAAACCTAGTTTATAAATTAGGTTTCTTTATAAATTAGGTTTATAAACTGAGTTTATAAATAAAGTTTATATGAACAAGATTATGGAACTGGTTCATTGAACAAACTACTAAAGAAACTAGTTTGAACCAGGTTCAAATCTGGCTTATCTGAACCATTTAAAATCCCTAAGCCTACTAATTTTTTTTAATATCATCTTATTTATTAAAAAGAATCCATTCTATTACACTTTTATAAGGTAGATTTAAGTTGAATTCTTAAATACGATTATTGACATCCTTGTATGACCCACCTAGTATCGCGATCAGTTTAGTGATGTGAATTCTCCCAAATCACAATTTCTCTACCGGTATATACCTGTAGGTGGTAGCTACCGTTAGCTACCACTACCGGTAGTATAGCAGACTTTCATTTTGATTAGCTAATTCTTCTACCTATATATATATATAGTGCAAGCCGTACTCAACCAATCAGATTTAATAAACTGCTAAACATCTACTTACCATCTACCACTTTATACATTAACCTCACGGTAGCTGCCGGTAGCTACCGGTAGTTACCAGCGGTAGATAGCTACCGGTAGTTACCAGCGGTAGATAGCTACCGGTAGCTACCAACTCACATCACTAGATCAGTTACATATTACGGAGCTTAACCGACATTAAAATTAATAATAATGATGACATTTAATTAATAATAAATAATATATATATGAATAATATAATAATTAACGTTGAAATTTTTTATTTCTATGGATATCGTATTATTTTCTGAAATGGAACATACACCTCTTACAAAACTTTGTTCATCCTGTCAAATCACGAAATCAATTAATGAATTTCAAATTAATAATAAATCATGTTTTGAATGCATAAACCGTGTAAATGAAAGCCAAAAACGGAAACGTAAGGATCGAATTTTAAACGATATTCACAAGCAAAAAGAAAATGCCATAAAATTTGAATCTCGATGTAAATGCATTTTGTACATTCGAATAAAATGTATTTTGACTTAGAATTTGAATAATTAAATTAAATTAATATAAAATATAAAAAAACATCAATTATTTCTTCAAAAAATCTCGCGATTCTGTTATTCTTGTGTGCAGATTAAAATTTAAAAAGCGATTATGTAACTGATCGTGGTGGCGATACTAGCGTTTAATTTCTCTTTTTGGATTTGTATCACTCGCACAAATAAGTACACGCGCTTTTAGACCCCTAAAGGAAGCAAATTTGAAGATGATCAATTACCTAAATTAAATATTAATACAACCGTAATTAGTAATTTAGCATAACACCAAACGCTAACTATTGCTTGTAAGCGTTAACAAATTTGAACACGCGTGCGGACAGACAAAAAATTTCCAAATTACATTTCTGATATGATCTTCATAATGTTTATGCAGATGCATTAAAAAAGCAACTTTTTGGAGTAAAATGCATTAAAAACGTAATTTATGTCACTTAATACACTAGGCTAATGCGTAGCATTGTGTGTCCGGAGCACATGACGATTATTATATAACACAAACGCGTAAGCATGCATATTTTTTGTAGTACTAAATTACAAATTTAAACACGCGTGCGGACAGACAAGAATTTTCAAAGTTACGATTTTGATAAATAGCTTAGAAGTGAATCAAAAATGTAACTATTGATGTATCAAGATCGTAACTTTTGTATCACCATGACTAAACACTAAATGTCCTCCGCTACGCTCTGGACAACTAGAAAACAGTTTTGGAAAAACGCAACTTTAGTCCGTGTGCGGACAGACATCCTTTCAAAGTTATGTTCTTGATTTTTATTATTATGATGCATCAACATCGTAACTTTGATGCATCAAAAACGTAACTTTTGATGCACTTTACTCGTCCATTATATGTCCTTCATGACAACAACAAAAAATATGCATGCTTACGCGTTTGTGTTATATGATAATCGTCATCTACACATTAGAATTAATTACGGCATAATGGCATAAAATAGCTCTAACTGACCCCTCAATCTACATAATAATGCCTAACACTCAACCTAAAGTATGAATTTAAACACTGAAAAACTTTGATCTTTTTTGTGGATCCAAACAAAATGATAACTTTTCGCTTTTTCTTTCCTTAACGTCCAAAACAGATACCACATGAATATTTCAAACGAAAATGGTCGGAATGGAATATTCAAGATTTCCTTGATGAATGCAACTTGAAAACGTTTGGACAAAAAATAGAGGAGTACCTTTTATCTCTCGAGGTAATTGCTAATACAGGGGAAAATGGAAGACGCGAAAAAGCGCAAAGACTGCTTGATAACTATAAGAAGGCAAGTATGAGTCTTGTTGAAATATAGAAATTAATGGCGTGATAGAGGATCTCTGAGACTTCTATCATTCAAGTCTCCGAGACGAGCCATAAAACTAATGTTGAGGCACAAGCAACCTCCGAGGTACTTGATGTTAAAGTCTCCGAGATGACTCAACATTAGTCCACCAGAGCACAGACAATCTTCGAAAAATGCAAACTTTATTTATGATTCTGTATCATATGTTATTAAAGAGGGTTATCCATTCAAGTATCATTAAGAGTAAAGATACTGTAGTAAAGATGTGAATTCGATCAGCATAAACACAAATTGTCTGGTGTTAAGTCTCTGAGACCACCTGGTGGGATGAAAATCAGTTAAGAATATTAGGGTATTACTAATTTCTAAATCCGCCATGTTAGAATTCTTGTCCAGATCATAAACTGGCGAAAGAATGGGAAAAAAACCATGAAAATAAATCCACAATCTACTTCCCAAAATCCGATATTTACAGACATTGGCGTTGTGTATGGTGTAGCTGGGACGATTAATGGTGGTATAATTTCATCTCGATCAGTCAATCAACAAAAACGAAAAAAAAACCTATCTATTTCAAAAAAAGTTAGTTGATTTGGTATAAAAAATAGCGGTTTGAATACTATAGTGAACTTTTTTTTTTAATGACTACTTATCGTATCTATAGAATAAAGAACCGGTTACAGTTACTTTAAAGAAGGTCAATATAATGTGTTAATCTTACAATAAGGATTTGTTAACCCGAATTTCTCTCAAAAAAAATTCTTTTTTTTGTGCATGAACAGGTGAAAACTGATGTGAAGGATGATAATCCATTTATTAACAACAATTCTTCATCATCAAGTACCGTACAAGATTCCTCCATATCTGCTTTCAAGTCACAAAATCTTGATGAAATACCACTCGGCCCAGAGGAGAGCGAGACAGAATTAATTGCCATAGATCAAGATGAAGAAGTCAAGAAGCTCACACAGGTATTTTAGAGTTCCAATCCGGTATTTTATTATTTGCTAAGTTTATTACTTTTTATATATTTGTCTACTTCTATTTAATTTTCTAGGACGAAAGCAACATTCGAAATAAATTACTCACTATTTTGTTTGCACAAAAAGAAAAGGATAAAAAGTTCGGAAAAAATTGTATGACCTCTGTATTTCTTCAGTGTTGTCAATGGACATTAGACATTGTGTCCATGGTAGGGTCCGAAACGGGCCGGGTCGAACCTGACCCGTTAACTTATAGGCCCGGCATGAACCCGACCCGTTACCTTATAGGCCCGGCATGGACCCGGCCCGTGTTTATTGGGCCGGGCCGGGTCGGGTTTATAGTTCAATGGACTGGGCCACCCAGTACAATTATCATGTGA